GACCACCGTGTCAAGATGGCTACTGTCTGGCCGCTAACTCTTTTAGTTATCAAAAAATGAGCAAGCCCAGTATCTCTTGACATTGTGTCGGAATGGGTGGCGGTCTACACAATGTATGGGGGCATGGTCTGTGGAACCTTGCTATAACGAAGGTATAATTTGTTCGCTATAACGAGGTTTCGTTTTGTCGAGGTTGTTTCCCAGAAATTTTACTATTACTGGGGTCAAGATAATCGTTCGTTATACCGATGGCTTCGTTATATAGAGGTTCGTTATACTGGCAGTTTTTTTCTGGAGTTGAATTCTAATAGACCGACCTTTTCTCGCGTGGGGTGATTTTCACGCGCGCTCGCGTTTCGCTCGCTCTACTATCCCTGAGGAAAAATGGGGAACTACTCGTAGTCTAATTCTAAAAGACTATATGAAAGTCCAGGAAAAGAAAAGAAAGTCGTCGCCTTGTGTTCACGTCCTCCACAAAACGTGAAAATAGGCATTTCCACGTCGTTATCGTGCAGTGACAGTAAAGAAATTTACAAAAAAGCATGATGCACGTGCAAAGTTGTTGTTTTGCTAATTTAACCTATTGCTTTTTCCCGTTCTCGTTGACGTCGCCGTCATCGTTGTTTAAGCTCCCTAATCCGTGACGAATCCAGACCTTGAGATAGGGGGGAGGGGGGGTCATCCAGACCCTTAGTTAAGGGGGCAAGGGGGAACCGGTCTCCAAAAATCATTTTTTCGGCCCTTCGGGCCTCAGTTGGGTTTAAAAATAAGGGGGTGTCCGGGCCCCCTGGGGGCCCTCCCCTGGATCCGCCACTGCTGATATCATTTGGCTCTGTAGCGATGACTTATACTGTTCACTCTTCTTGTGGCAAATTTGTCAAGATAGGTGGGATTTCTTGGTTAAAGCTTCACCTGATAACACTTGGTATTTAGTCATGAAGGTAATGTTTAATACAGTATGTTACTTAAGTAAGAAATACGCAGCGTTTTAGGTGCAACTTTGAGTTTAGATCAAGATTTGGGTTGTGTCCTTTAGGTGATGATGACGAAGAGACAAGCCCACTGTCAGACACTACTCCATCTCGACGCAGGAGGCGGCTCAGCATTGTATCCGATCAGGAGAAAGAGTTACGTTCACAAGCTCTTGATTATGAGCAGCGATTCTGTGGACACTGTAACACAACTACTGACATCAAAGAAGCAAACTTCTTTGGGAGCAACGGACAGTATATTGTAGCAGGCAGCGACGATGGCTCTTTCTTTATGTGGGACAAAGAGACAACGAATCTAGTCAGAGTACTAAAGGGTGATGATTCTATTGTGAATTGCTTACAGCCCCATCCTAGCATGTGCCTTTTGGCCACTAGTGGTATTGATCCGGTGATCAGACTTTGGAGTCCACGCCCCCAGGGTGAGGACACACAGGATTGGCTTATTGACGAGGTTGAAGCTGCTGCGAAAGCCAATCAACGGCGAATGAATGCTGACCCGTTGGAGGTGATGTTAATGAACATGGGATATCGAACAAGGTTTACTATGGCTGAAGGTAGTGATGCCGAAGATGAAGCAGAAACGCCTATTCAGTGTCGCACTAGCTAGGAAAACAAATTTTCATATTTATTGCTAGAATTCAATGTAATTTGGGTAACCACTGATGGTTTGCTTTCACGGGTTTAAAAATATTTGGCTTTGTTAATGAACGCTTGCAATACGCTGTTTCCTTATGGATTTTCAAGTTGTAAANAGCATGTGCCTTTTGGCCACAAGTGGTATTGATCCGGTGATCAGACTTTGGAGTCCACGCCCCCAGGGTGAGGACACACAGGATTGGCTTATTGACGAGGTTGAAGCTGCTGCAAAAGCCAATCAACGGCGAATGAATGCTGACCCGTTGGAGGTGATGTTAATGAACATGGGATATCGAACAAGGTTTACTATGGCTGAAGGTAGTGATGCCGAAGATGAAGCAGAAACGCCTATTCAGTGTCGCACTAGCTAGGAAAACAAATTTTCATATTTATTGCTAGAATTCAATGTAATTTGGGTAACCACTGATGGTTTGCTTTCACGGGTTTAAAAATATTTGGCTTTGTTAATGAACGCTTGCAATACGCTGTTTCCTTATGGATTTTCAAGTTGTAAACGATTGGTTATTGTAAATTAGAGAATATTGCCAGTGAAAGATGAAATCAACTTGTTAATGTGGTTACATTAGAGTTCGATGAGACAGTCTGCTTAACATGTTTTGTAGTAATTAGATTGACTTTTGCTTTGGTCTCGTCAGATGAGAAGTCTGGAGCGAAGTGAGAGACACTTTAAAAGGCTTAAACTTCCCACGCCCTGTTAGCCTGCGAGTACAGCCCAACGTCCCTAGAGTAAGGAGATTGTATTAACAGGCTAACGCCCTGTGCACATGAGGCCTGCGAGCCTCGCACGCTCGAATCTACGCCCTCGGTGCTTCATGAGTAGTGCTTGAAAACAGAAAGAAACCGATAAGGAGCGTAGCTACCTTTATGCCATTAAGCATATGCGTACCTGAAAAAAATTCACAACAAAGGAGCGGAAGATTTCCCTCATGTTACTGGTGATAGCAGTAGCAAGTAGCTCTGATGTACAGTTTCAATCGTCAGTTGCAAATAAAAAATAGATTTTTAATACAAATTTGAATTCAAATGTTTGAATCCCTACAGTCAACTGCCGGAACACTTTAAGAAGACGGATTCAATGGTGTTTGTAACTTGCTATGAAAGACCTACCTTAAATAAACATTGGTACTTGATGATAACCTCCTTAAGACTATAGGTAGTATTATTTGTAAAACATGGTCTTCCTAAACACTGTAGTGTGTTATTTAATGAGAGGTACCTACTCCGCTTATTTCAATGCTGCCCGCAGTATATAAACTGTATTAGCTGCAGACGTAGGCTCGATTTCAGCCGTTGTTTGAGAAATGAAGTTGCGGTCCTCCCCGAAAAAAGGATTCGAGAGGAGCGAAAATCGAGCCTACTGCAGAAGTGACCGGGAATAGTTGCTTAGCCCTTTCACTCCAAGATGAAGTTTGTATGGGAAGATGATTTTTCATTCTAACTTTTTAAACTCTGGGGAAACCCTTTGATGTTACTATTCAAATGAAACCCTTTTTGAAGATGTTTTGAATGGTACTATTAAGATTTAAGAGATTTACGGAACGACATTTGGATTTTGTTTTTTTTAATTTTTACTTGACCATTATGAGGAGTGAAAAGGTTAAAGACGCCATTGGGTATATGTACAAGTCAAGATCGTAACAAATTTTACTATATTTGAATTGGAACTCCTGTGGTGTGTGCTTCAAATGGGAAAACATTTGGATGTAAGAGAAAAGTTGAGCCAAGGGTTGAAGTGATAGGTATGAACGGGTGAAAGTGCTTTGTTCTGCAGTACATTCATTTAAAGCCTACGTGTAGCCGTACCCTCACCCCGACAAAGGAAAAACGTTTTTCCTTCGGGGAGAGGGTGCGGATACACGTAAGTGGTATAAGGGAAAGCCCTGGAAAAAAATTGGACATCGATCTTGGAAAGTCCTGGAAATCGATTAACTCAAGTATCAAATAAAAAGGTTTTGGAAGTAAATTTGTCACAACTGAGGAAGAATTAATTTATACAAGTACATTTCCTGGTCCTGAAAAATTTGTTTTAGTAAATGGCGCGAGCCCTGTTAAAAATGTTCCAACAGTTTAGTAGGGTTCTGATGCTTCCGTGAGAATCACTGTACAAACATACTATTCCTTCTTTCAATCAAGGAACAGAAATATCAGAATACAAGTCTAACCGCCTGCAATTAGCTGTGAACGTTTTGAAGCTTTATTTTCGTTGAGTTCAAACTGTTACGTCGCCTTGCCCATGATCCTAAAAGTCTTGTACAGTAGAATTTTGTAATTTTGCTACTGATCTAAGGAGTGGCACACAATAAAATATGCATATAGCATTGTGAGAAGACCATCTTTGTATCCGCTCCCCGGGATCCACTCCCATGCGGCTGCTCTTTGAAAGGGACTAAGGCCTGTTTCAAACGTCGTGCTACTGCCGTGCCGAACTCAATTGATCGCAGTAGCGCGACGTTTGAAACCAAGTCGTGCTACCGCCGTGTATCACGGCAAGCTTTGCCGTGCTACAAGGCATGTAGCTCGACTTGGTCTCAAACGTCGCACTACTGCCGTGTCGAATTCAATTCCTAAATTATAAATACATTAGAAAACATTTTTAAAGTTCACTAAACCGCTTTTTATTTTTAAGGTTTGTTTTCCGCGACAGCTGGCAATAGCACGACGTTTGAAACAGGCCTAACCTCACCGAAAAAGAATAATTTGTGTTTTGTCCTACGGAACTTTCGCTGCTAGAAGAGTTCTTTCACGGCGGGAGAAAAAGGAGACTCGGAAGGAGACCGAGAGAGGTCCTCTCATTTATTTACACACATTCTTTGTAACGTCCAAAATTTGAATGAAATTTTGAAGATCTCCATGAAAAAACGAACAAATGTCTTAATCGCGTACAGATAATATCTTATTCATTTGCCTTTAAAAGATTTTAAAAAAAATTGAAAAATTGGATAAATTCGTTCAAATTTCCTAGATTACTGGTCATAAATGACGGAGCAAAGTTGTCTCGTCTCGCGTCTCGGGTAGGCGAATTATCCCTTGTACCTATCAGAGAGTTTACAGGGCAGGGAGGGAGGGTAACCCTACCTGCCTTGTAAACTCGTCGTCTAAAAAAGGAACAAATGTGCGCATATGGGCTTGAAGTGTAGTTTACAATAACTAACACTTGTACAAGTTTTATTAAATTGACCGCAGAGTATACAATCTTGTGAACTGGCACGACAACTGGCAACGACGTTTGATCCGGAAGTTATAAATCAGTGGACCATACTCCTGCACCGGCAGGCTAACCTAAAACCTAAGGCTAACCCCGTTGGACCATGGTAGTGCCAATCCCTCTCCACAGCGAGACCCGCTTTCAAGATGGCGGCCGTTCGAGGTTTTAGAAACTTTCTGAAGTCAAATGTATTGCCTTTTCCAAGGACAATTCATCAGTTAGGAACCTCCAAATCAATTAATACACTACAAAGATGTTGCAGATCTGCCTCTACATTCTCATTTGTACCGGATTCACCTTCACCTCTCCATGGTTAGTTGACACTCATAAGTCACTTCCAGATACAAATTACAAAACGTGCTCGCCTTTGCTTCGTACGTAAGCTAAAGCTTGTTGATTAATAGGCGTACTACGTATATAAAATCTTATCTTTCTTTTTTTTTCCTGTTGCTAACAACATGCGGTCGCAAACAACATGCATTTAAGTCTCAAACGTGATCTCTAACCCTAACTTTCTCGTGACAGCATCAATACGTATAAATACAGCATTTTTTTAATTTGTTATGGGAATTGATAAAATTCCATGATCGTTTAACAAATTCTCTCAACTAATTCTTAAAGGAAGTGCATGGATATCAGTCCAGAGAATTCGTATGTGGATACTGAGGCTTAATAATGAATAATAATTTCAAAACTCTCTTTTTTAGGAGAAACTCAAAAGATGAACTTGTTTCAGTCACTGACTAGTGCTATGGATCTTATTCTGGAGTCTGACTCATCTGCAGGTAATTTTCAATTTCTATTTCACTTATTAACACATAGATTTCATTTTGCTTTGTGTTAATAAATGTGGTAAGAACCAATATTGGTCAATTAGCAACCGGCTGATCAATGTATTGTTGATGAAGCTTGATGTCAGGCTGCTGTCCTAAAAATGGTAAATAAGACAGACACATCAAACATCAGGCGGTGTTTACATCTTCTCTTAAGCACATTATTCAGATGCACTTAACAAACAACTTTAATATTAAAGTTATCTCTTACATGAAATGGATCAATCTAAACGACTTTAAAATCTCTGGCATGATATGGCCAATGTCATTTGCTTATTGAAAGATATTAGATTCTGTGCACTTTTTTTGTCAAAACTAGTATTTTTCCCCTTCTAGTGATATTCGGAGAGGATGTTGCCTTTGGTGGAGTATTTAGATGTACTGTTGGACTAAAAGACAAGTATGGTTAGTATACATCAGGTGATAATGTGTAGTTCCAGAAAATATCCATACTCCCCCCGCAGAAGGGATTGGAAATTCCTGGGGGGTGGGAGGGTTCTCAAAGGCCCAAAAATTTAAGTAAATGTATGAAGCTTGACTGGAATTTCCTGGAGGTGGTGGGGCTCTAAGGAAAAATCCCTTCCGTGGGGGGAGTATGGATAGTTTTTGGAACCACACGATATACATGCATGTACACTCAACTCCTTTATTGTAGTCCATGGTCTGTAAATAATGGAATGTGAGAAGAATTTCGTTAGAAAACATTTGTATTTAATAGAGGAGCTGAGTGGCCCACATGGCATTTTAAATTGGGTCATTTCAAAAATGGTCTCAGTCAAACTACATGTATGATATGATATCATGGGAGTTTCAATTTGAAACTTTGAACAACTGAAATCATCCCAACTATCACCAATAGGTTCCTGAAGTTCTGGAGGTTGACTTATCGAACTGACTTCTCAAGTTTCACTGTCATCCTTATCCAGCCCATCTTCATGCTTTTCAGGTCCCACTTCAATTGTCTTTTGCGTAAAAAGTGAACTTAGCTTTTGTTGTTGTTTCACAATGAAATGTAAACAAACCAACAACATCAACAAATGAAATGTGAGTTGATCGGCAAAGCACCAAAGTCGAAATATACGCTCCAGTCTCTCCTGGAATTGTGTGGAATGCCTGACACAAAAACAACTTGTAAGCACACACATTCTGAAATGACAGTCATTTCGACGTGCACTCATTTAAGGCTAGTAAGCGCCCCCCTTTTTTTTAAATTTACTTGTATTATTACCTGCTGCTTTGGAAGTACTTATATATGAGGTAACTTTTTTTGCATCAGTATGACTCCACGATAATTTCATTTTGCGTCAGAATAGAATATTCTGCATCAATGACGCAAAAACATGGCTTAGATTGAACACTTGAGGAGTAACGTATAATTAACATTAACAATTTTGCTTGGAACACAACACTGAGAAGAATCAATGAAATAAGTAAGGCTTTAAACTGTGCTGTGTAAAGGGTCGCTAAGCAAGCCGTAGTGAGGGCCTAATAATGGTGAGTTTACTCCGGTTAAACCTCTGAAAGCTTTGACAAGCTGTAGCTGCTGTTTTTATCATTGGGATGTCTGAAATAGCTTGGTTTAACTCCTTGAAAAAGTGCAAGGCCCACAAATGCAGTATCAAAATCTTGACAGGATATGACTATTACCGCAATAATTAAGATTGTTTTAACAGCATGTCGATCAAGCGTCAGCCGATAAGTTGGCCATGTCAATTGAGAGTTGGCTGATAGTGTCAAATGATAGTCGGCCAAGAGGTACCTAAAGTACACAACAATTAATCTCCCAGTCCCTAATAGCAAGGTCCTAAGACAGGATCTCACAAAACAAAAACTCTATAAGACTATTACAATACATCCTACTCCTTTAATCACCCTTAAGTATGATATCTACTGTAGGTAAAGACAGAGTGTTTAATACACCACTCAGTGAACAAGGCATTGTTGGTTTTGGTATTGGGATGGCAGCAGCTGGCGCTACAGCAATAGCAGAGATTCAGTTTGCAGATTACATCTTCCCTGCCTTTGATCAAGTAAGTTAATTCACGTCAACTTTCCCTCAGTATGTAACTTTATTATAATACAGTCAACTTTCTCTTAACAGGTACCTCTATATAAGATGGACTCCTCAGTAAAACAGACACCTAGAGTTGGTCCCTGCCTTTCTTTACTTTTTTTATTTGACTCTTTATAAGATGGACATCACTTAGTGCCAATCCCAAAGGTGTCCATCTTAAAGGGACATAGTCGGCTTTGGTGTCGCACTGACCTGGACACTACTTCCCCAGTTTGAAAAGCATTTACCTCAACCTGAAATCAAATGTACACGTTGGATACATCTAGAAATCCACTTTAATCTTGCCTAGTTTAAATTCATTCGATCGTTGATTTTTTTCTGAAAACCTCTTTCTGAGCAAACTTTTACTCATCGTAAAACATTATTTCATCATAATATTTGGTTAAACAAAGTAGCCAAAGGAACACGCAAAGAGGAGGTGGGAAAAGTGTAGGCACTGGGTGGGAGAAATCGCCTTTGTTTACCAAATAACAAGAGAAATGAATCAATAACACCGCATCTAGCAAATCATTATTATATATATTTGGAAAATTGATGGAGAAAGGTCACATTATATTATTTGGAAAAATCAAGCCGTCAGTGTCTCGACCTTGATCCTTCAACAATGATTAAGACTTTGTGTCATTTCTCACCTCTACTGATTCTTCGAGTTCATAAGTATTTGTCAATGTATCGGTGAATTCTCACATGCCTATACAAAAATGAGTGCCCTGATATGACTTAGATTCTCACGATTTTGACTTGCCATTTCAACTCCACATGGTTTGTTTAGATATTCCAGCGTGCGGTTCTCACTTTCTGTTTCACGCGCATGTCTAGTGATATGCAAATCAGCTAAGAATTATTGGTATGTGATATGCATGTGTATCACCTGACTGTGTCCCTTTAGAGAGAGTTGTCTGTAAAAACCAATGAAAATGCCAGGGGAGCTTTCATTGTGGTGTTTATGTAATAAATAGAACAAGACATGGCCACTATAAATAAAATTTTTCTTCTCGTGTTGAAAATACTTTGATCACTTGTTTGCAAATATTCTTTTGACATGAGAAGAGAAATTTCATATCTCCATATGGCCTAATATCCTCTCTTTATGTACTTTCATAACTTGATGTTCATCTTGTTGTAGCTTGTGAATGAAGCTGCAAAATTTAGATACCGTTCAGGAAATCTTTTTAACTGTGGCAGCCTCACAGTGCGAGCTCCTTGTGGAGCTGTGGGGCATGGTGCACATTATCATTCTCAGTCAGTGGAGAGCTACTTTGCTCATGTACCAGGACTAAAGGTACGGTAACTACTTGTTATCTTTGGTTAGCAAACAAGTATATATTAACACCCCCAGTCCTTTGGCATGGATTTGGTTATCTGTAGGCAAAAGTCATTGTGAATTGTTTTGGGTGATGTTTTAGATTTAAGTACAAGTAGTTTTGCCATTAATGGGTTCATTTCTTTAGCAGACCTCAGTCACATACATCATGTCAGGTAGTGTATCATGAAGTCAGTCACTTTACTTTCACAGAAAAAGTTTCTACATTGTAGATCATCATCATCATCATCTTTATTCTGTAAAGCAGGTCAGAAAGCAGGTTATATAATTTTATTCATATAAGGCAACTTGAAAGCTGTAGATCTATGTGATAATACAAACATAGACACATCATGTTTAATCAATCAACAGAATCAATTTTCAAAGAATGAATTTATTAGTCTGTTAATAATGGGAATGCTTGGCTGGCTTTGACTGTACAATGTGAATCTCTGTTTCCGCATTTAAGTGATCATGTATTTACTTGAAAGTTAGGGAACTACAGTGATGAATGATGATCCTCCTTGAACACAGCCTTGCCAGTGGCATTATTGTTTATTATACTACTACATGAGAAATTTCTGCAATTTGATTGGCTTAGAGCAGTGGTATTTCAGCATAATTTTAAATACGTACATGTGAAAATAATATTAGTGTTTCCATGGTAACCAAAATCATGAAATAAGGTCGTCAGGCAAGTTCAAAAACATTGGCGGAAAGATTTCCAGATTTTCAAGTTCAAGAAATTCAAGAACTCAACTTGGGAAATTCAGAAAACCAAAATACTAAGAAAAGTAAATCAACCTACCAGCTGGGCAGGAAGCGGGAACTTTGAAACAAATTTGCTTGGTTATGAAGCGAAACAACGAGATGAAACTAAACAAAAGTTGTTACTCGAGATCCATAAGAAAGATGGTTCATAGTATGAGCCCGAAAGTTTGAGAGTTATGCTGGCGTCATTGGACGGACACCTGAGAGAAAAGGATGCTGCCTTCTCAATAGCAAAGGATTTTGAGTTTTCCAACCGTAGAATAGTACTTGAAGGAAAAGCAAGGCTTCCTTGTCAACAAGGTTTCGGTAAAAGGCCTAATGCTGCAAAAGCGATGAACTGATGTGGTCCAAAGCTTTCAGGCTTTCCTCCTCAGTCACTGATACAGACCATGTGGTTCTTGCTCCCCCAGCACTTTGGTTTGAGGGGCTGTCTGGAGCACCAGAAACATGTACGTTGAAGATTTTGCCGTCAGTACCAACGACAATGGTATTGAATTCATGACTTATGAGGAAACCCCACAAAAACTCGCCAAGGTGGACTTCTCATGAAACAAAGAATTGTTCAACCCAAGATGTTTGCTACTGGTGGACAGAGGTGCTTTGTTAAACTGTTCCAAACATTTCTGGAATGAAGACCTGAAGAAATGCGAAACAGTGGTTCATTTTATCTTGCTGTGAATGAATGACCTAAGACCCAAGTGTGGTGTAAGTGAAAAAGAATGGGCGTCAACAGCATTAATTCCTTCATGAAGAATATGGCAAGTCAGGCAGACATACAAGGCAAAAAGCTCACAAACCACAGCACTCACAAAACCTTGGTGAAGAAGCTGAAAGCTGCAAACCAACTGCGGTGAGCAATTATCAGTGTGTGCCAATGAGAGGTCCCTTGAAGATTATGAAGAAGGTGATGAGAATGAACAGTGAGACATTTCTTCCATCGTCAGTGCAGAGTGTGCAATGGCACAATCCAGCAGAGTTTGTCAACTGCTTGCAAAGATTAGATGCTGTAAACACAGCTGTGGTGATCATTTTCCTCTTCAATGATGAAAGGTCGGCGACCGTCGACCATTTCCCTGGCTGTCAACTTTCTTTCTAGCTGCCGTAGATGTTTAAATCTACATGTAATTTTGAAAAACTTTCATTGAAGCAAATGGTTAAAGACTCACAAACTTTGATTCTTTCTTTATATGTTTTGGAAATCTATGTCGTTAAGAATTTGATTTTGGATCATGTGATTTTCAGATCACATGTTGTATAAAGCCAATTAAATACGCGTGATGAAATAATTGGATGATGTTACAAAAAATTTCTCATGCATACATGTAGAAGTATAAACAAATAATAGCATGATTTGTACGTGATATTTGCATAAACACTTCTCATGATATTTCAAAGTTGTCTCAAATTTCACTCGCCCAATGGCTCGTGAAAATACTATAACAATTTTGAAATATCACTCGTGGTATGGTATCATTACCAATCATGCTATTACCTATACTAATTTACCAGTTAGTAGTATAGTTGGCATATAATTTTGCTGTTTGTACTTTTTTCATTTAGGTAGTTATTCCTAGAGGACCTATTCAAGCCAAAGGACTTTTCATTTCTTCTGTAAGAGACAAAAACCCAGTCATCTTCCTTGAACCCAAGATCCTTTACAGACAAGCAGTGGAAGAGGTCCCCGTTGCAGACTATGAGATACCACTCTCAGAAGCTGAAATACTTGAGGAAGGTGAGTCTACAATTTGATTCAGTTGGTTGTAATGCTCTAAGTACTAATTAAAGAAAGAATTGGCTTTAGAGCATTAGAAGAGGCTTTAGAAAACCTAACACATCAATAACGATTCTATCAGTTATTTTGTCAAACAATTCTGAAAATTATGAACTTGTACAATTCTTTGTTATTGTAGTGCGAACTTCGATGTGATTCTTCCTAATTTCATGTTTTATGAGGATGTGAACACGAGAAAATGGGAAAAAGTGAAGAACAGCTCCCCTGTCGGCCAACTGTCGTTTACCACCTTTTGCATAAATTTTCTGCCAACAGTCGGCCGACAGTTGGCAGCTGTTGGTAATGTGTCGGCTAAGTGTCAGTTGAGAACACCTGTCGAATACCAGAAAAGCCTCTGCTCGCAGGGTAGAACATTGTATATCAACGTGAAATGGAACTTTTTCACTTGAGTAAGAATAAATACTTAATATTACTCTTTCTGTACTTAGATACAGTCTTATAGAATTCCAGAACAATTTTAATTGCCAGCATTATTGACAAATTGAACAAGATGGAATAAGAGAGAAGTTTGAAGCAGCGCCAATTACTTTTTGAGTGACGCTTTCCCTGCCATCACCATCGTAGATGCTAAAGCTCCCTAATTTTTATCTGTTTCATCATAACAAATTAGTCTTTTTTTGACAAATCTGATTTCAGGTTCCGATGTGACAGTCGTTGGATGGGGAACTCAGGTGCATGTCTTACGTGATGTCTGTAAAATGGCAAAAGATGAGCTTGGTATCAGTTGTGAGCTGATAGATCTTCAAACAATTCTACCTTGGGATGAAGAGACTGTCATTAAGGTATTATTACATCGCTGGGATTTTTTGCCTAACAGCACACACTTCCATTAAGTTGCTTCGAGGTCCTATGGCAGCTAATATTAAAATTGTTTCCCACCAAAAGTGTCTGAGTTAAAGGAATTGCAAATTCTATGATGCTGTCACTTGCAAATGTTAACTGCTCAGTGAGATTAATAGACTATTACTTGAAGTTGTGAATATATGAAAAGCACTGCAGGGATGAAGAATAATTATATTCCATGACGAAAGCCTGAAAAATTTAGGCTTAAACAGGATTTGAACCCTTCAAGGTCAAGGGTTCAAATCCCATACAAGCCGGAATTTTTTCAGCCTTTCTTTTTGCAAATGCCAATGTTGTATCTATAACTATGATGATCTTCATTCATAATAGAAGACTATTACTTGTTATAAAAGTTCCACTTTGTTAGCCATACTTTGGAAGACTTTGAGATTGTCTGGAAACAAAATAACTAAGGAATGCTGTATCTGTGGCCCCCTAGACAAAGCTGGCCTATCAGATAACAGGAAAATAACAATACATTCCAAGAAAGTTGGTTGTGGGCTAAACAGCCACTCGTAGGAAAACAATAAGTTAATTAAAGCAAAAAATTTAAATATCAATAGCAAGCATTTCCAGGTAGCAAAATTTATCGTTAGACAATATTTTTCTTTCCAAAACTTTAGACATACAGTTGTTTCATTTACCTGTAATTTGTTCGATTTCTGTGCTAACATTCGTCATTGTCACGCTCTCCAATAGCATGCCACCTCAAGTAAAAAATGCATCCAACGTTGATATTATTTGTCTCTGTCATTAACTATAACAGACCTCTTAGGAAGCACTGTAGGTTGCAGTTGGTTGATTTTGTTGCCCAACAATCTCAAGGTCTCCAAAGGCATGTAGCTGAGGAAAACAAAATTAACAAATTTCCCCAGGGACCACTCATTAAGACAGTGATTTGTTATATAGCCAACAAAGGAAAACTTGATAACAAGGTTGTTTTATGCAATACTACTCTTGTTTTAGAAAGGGTGTCTTTTTAATAAAAGACATTACACTCAATTCCAAACAACACTGGGCACGTAAGAACAGTTCCCATGGGAAACAGTTACAGTGCAACTACTTAAACCAGGGCTTACCTAGACAAAGTTGATCAGTCGGACTACGCAAAAATGGTAATACATTCCAAGAAAGTTGGTTGTCAATGATCATAATCTCTTCAAAATGAAATAAGGGACGGACCATTAGAAAAGTTATGGGGAGGGTGGGAATTTTCGAGCCGCATAAAAAAAAACATTTCCCTTGCATGAATTTTTTAGGCTTTTCCTTGAACATTTTTTAGGGTTATTTGGCATACATAATTTTTTTTAAAAATAATTTTCCCTCGCACAAACATTTTTTTTGTACTTCACCTCCCCCCTCCCCAATAAGTTTCCTAATGGTCTGTCCCTAAGCAACATGGATCAAAATTAACTGTTTTCCAAGGGAACTATCATTAATTGACCATTGTTGTTTGTAACTATTAGTATACATGTTCTTTCATTGCACGCATTGGGTAAATAGGAGATAAAAGAGATGTCCTTTAAAAAACAAGAGAGGTATCTGCATAGTGAATTTTGCTAATGGGCTAGTGAATTCTGTTCTTCACTTGCCCAACACGCCAGTGAACGATTTTAGGGAATTCAAACAATACTTTAAGACAAATTTCAAATTCCTTGTAAATTCACGTGGAATGATTTAGCCATTTCTCAAACTCATCTGACAAAGTGATATCTGTAAAAACAAGTATCAAAACTAGTATGGCACTACTTTATGTCAGACTAGACGTTGTGGGATCCACACAATCTTTGGGTAAAAACAATAATTGTTTTATTTTTAATTATTAAAAATTAATTATTATTAAGTAATTAATTATTAATTATTTTATAATTAATTGTAAATAATTAATTATTATTAATTATTAAAAAAATAATTATAATTAATTAAAAATACCTTAGAAGTAATGCACCTTAGGCTCCTAAAGTTTTTGTTAGATCTTAGCTGACTACAACGATTTTATAAGTCAAGTAATTGATTACCTAATGGTGTATTTAATAAATAAATTGTGATTAATTATTTAATTATCAATCCTGCACGTCAGAAACTTTTTCGTGCTACATGTAGTTTAAGTGACTCTCGGGCTAAGGCAAGCTGCAAAAGTGATTTTCTTTGCAACCTGGGTATTACATAAGTCAATATTGGTACCACTGCTTTCATAAATAAGATGTGTTCTATTGACCAAATGTTTTTTTGTTTTAGTCTGTTCTAAAAACAGGAAGGCTTCTAATAGCACACGAGGCTCCTTTAACTGGTGGATTTGCTGCAGAAATAAGCAGTACTGTACAGGTAATCACTAGTGATGTCATGTAGTTTTCTTTTAACCGCATGATTTAACGTGATAAACGTTTTAGATATTCCAACTTGAATTCATTTACACCCGAAACGCTTGAAAACCACTGTGTTTGTATCACTAGTGATGTCATCAGTTTAAATGTTCAAACAGGACTCTGATGTACAAACGTGTGCAAGAGAGAGAAATCTTCCCGAGCATATCTAAATGTGAGCTACTTAGTTAAAAACGCCTGAGATAACTGCAACAGACAACCTGAATCATTCAAAAATGAAATATTCTAAGTAGCTCTGTTTTGGGACGGCTGAAAAAGGTTTTCGTATCTCTTACTAGACTTTTGTTTTCTGGATAGAGTGCTAATTTTTCAATGGAGTTTTGATCTATTTTTCCGAGTAGTTGAGTATTCCTTTGTCTCTTGGTAGACAGTTTACCCATAAAAGTGAAGAATGATCATCGCAGTAAATTTTCCAATTTAAGCAATTGGAAAGAAGAAGCCTGAAAAAAAAAAAAAAATCAGGGCTTCAACGGGTTTCGAACCCGTGACCTCCGCGTTGCCGGTGCGTTGCTCTACCAACTGAGCTATGAAGCCACACATTGGGAGCGAGGTCATAGTCGGCCAACTGATTTTTGGGTGAGCTGTTCATTTATTTTCACGGCTTAATTACTGATGAGACTTGACACTCACTTAGCGGCGATGTTCCCTTTTCCATCCTTACGACAGCTGTTTTCTCCATGACTAACACGTTTTAATTCTTTATTTGTCGCAGGAACATTGTTTCCTAAATCTTGAAGCTCCCATTCAACGTGTATGTGGATGGGACACACCCTTCCCTCATATCTTTGAACCATTTTATCTGCCGGACAAGTGGAGATGTTTTGAAGCTCTGAAGAAAATTACCAGCTTTTAAAATGTATAATGAGAGTAACTCGACATGAATGAATGCAAAACGAACAGAACTTGACATTTTCTAGTTGTTCTAAACAGTCGCTGTTCTGGTGTTGTTGCGGATTGAATGCAGAAGATATTACACTTCGCCCAGACAGAAAGAAACCTTCCAGAAAATTGTAGCATATGAAGACATGTTTGTATGGAAACATTATCGTCGTGTTCCTAAAGAAAAATGATGTGCAAAATAAGTCCAGGGGGCTAGTCTGATCATCCGTCGTTACATCTGACGTTGAAGTTTGGTGCAGTCGAACTCTTTATTTTGATGCTTAACGCCCCTGCTTACGGTACCCAGTCACCTCGCCACCAACAAATATACATATGTTGCTGTTAATTTTTTTTTATCTCAGGTAGTTTTTAATTTTCTTTTGTTTCAACTTCATTTGCATACATTACCTTACCCAAAAACAAAGAAAAACAAAACTTACCTGAGATAAAAAAATAACTACAACATATATTTTGATACCTATCGAAAGGGCAATTCTCTAAAAGAAAATTCCTTCCTTTGAATTTACATTGGAATTGAAGGAGTTAACGTTCAAGTGACAATATAAGCCTACTTTCAAAAGAAAGGCTGTTAAATTTTAAACAGACGATACAGACTTCTTGGTGGTGAGATGACCGTAAACCGTGGTTGATACGTCTGATGGTTTGCACTTGCTAAGGATACCAAGAGTTTGATAAGCACAATGTTATAAATTAAAAGAATGTCAATCGGCAGGTAGTCGTAAAACAAAATCGATCGATTTGGGATGAATAATTTTTCCTTTCAGGTTTTGTGGCGTAGATTACAGGTGTAAATTGTTAGAGTAGCAGTTTGTTTTGACTGTACATTTGCGCCGTATATTTATTGTAATAACAACTGAATATCTATTCTTAGCTATAAACCCGCTGGTTGAAATTTTTTCTAACTCACATAATACAAAATGAGTGTCATCAACTGAAGAAACGTTATAATAGTTATCCATAAAAGTGCAGTTGCTGAAAAACGCTATCAAGTTAAATGCGGAGGAGAAAAGCATTGCTTTCAGACGTCACAGGATTTGCTTGAGCAAATGGCTCGCTCCCGAAATGCCAACTTTGCATTGCCTTTAAAATGTGGTTTTAATTTATGTAGCTTATAATGACTCGTTTACGTGGCTCCGGCCAATTTTTGAACAGAAAAAAAAACTTGCCCGGAGCCGCCTGAAATTTACAGGGTACCCCCGCTTACAGAGAGAAAGGACAAGAGGACCCGCGGAACAGTGCAAGTTTTTGAACGGCAAGGTGTGCAGGTTTTTGACTTGATGAGAAGTAGGTCAAAATTTGTGACCGGTACCGTTCCCGTACCGTTCCGCTTTTACGCGGACTCATATAAACACCTGCACCGCGCAAGGTTTTGCACAGTTTGCGCGGTAAAAGCCTGGTGCCTAGTTAGCACATTTGATAAAAAATATAATAAATAAATAAAATACTGACATCGGCCAAAATTTGTACGGACTCGTGTAAACAGAACGGTAAAAAAAATTTTGCATGGTTCCGTGTAAATAGGTTGCACAGGTAAAAAATTCGTCGGCTCAAAAATTTGTCCGGACTCGTGTTAACGTAACGGGCCCTCAAGCCCGGTTTACGCGATAAGTGATTTGGGAACGGACCCTCTGAAATGGGCACCGGACCACGACCTGTTCACATGGTTCTCTCCTGTCTGGGCGAGTGAAACGGGTCTCCCGAGAACGCGCGTTCTCGCGAGGCTCGCTTCGTTTGCCCAAATAGGAGAGCTTGCTCGCAGGCTAGTTCATATCTAAAAGACGATGCATTTAAGTCAGTTCTGAAAAGGGATGCAGTGTTCTGAACTAAGTATTTGAAAGGGAAACCATTTGTCAGTAGCAGGTATAGCTATTAGCAACGGGATACATTAGAACTATTAAAACAAGCAGCTCTTAAGTGTTTAAACCTTGTTATATGTTGTTTATTAATGGATTCTCAGTGTAGGTTTTAAAATAAACTAATTCTCTAAAGGAGAATTTCAGCCCCAGTAAAGGCTGTCATAATAAAGCGAACCCTTTGTTAAGCAGACCTGCATTATAATAGACAACAAGTACCAAGCATCAGTGTATCAGTTAAGTTACGAACATTTCTTTCCTATTTTTCTGTAAAAACGGTCAATAAGAGAAATATTCTTCTTTTCAGAGGTTGACGACTGACGCTACTTTGTAGCTAAAATNTTGCTCGCAGGCTAGTTCATATCTAAAAGACGATGCATTTAAGTCAGTTCTGAAAAGGGATGCAGTGTTCTGAACTAAGTATTTGAAAGGGAAACCATTTGTCAGTAGCAGGTATAGCTATTAGCAACGGGATACATTAGAACTATTAAAACAAGCAGCTCTTAAGTGTTTAAACCTTGTTATATGTTGTTTATTAATGGATTCTCAGTGTAGGTTTTAAAATAAACTAATTCTCTAAAGGAGAATTTCAGCCCCAGTAAAGGCTGTCATAATAAAGCGAACCCTTTGTTAAGCAGACCTGCATTATAATAGACAACAAGTACCAAGCATCAGTGTATCAGTTAAGTTACGAACATTTCTTTCCTATTTTTCTGTAAAAACGGTCAATAAGAGAAATATTCTTCTTTTCAGAGGTTGACGACTGACGCTACTTTGTAGCTAAAATCGGGCTGTACTTTACCACAAAACCCTTAAATACTTTGACTATAGATTTGACTATACTGTCATCAGTAAGAAAAAAATTACCTTTTAAGAAGTTGAAGACTGACGCTACTTTGTGGCTAAAATCGGCCTGTAATTTACCACAAAATCTTTAAATACTTTGACTATACATTTGACTATACTGTCAAAAATAAGAGTAAAATTCTGTTTAAGAAGTTGAAGACTGATGCTACTTTGTAGCTAAAATCGGCCTTAACTTCACCACAAAACCCTTAAATACTTTGATTATACAATTGACTATACTGCCATCAATAAGATAAAAATTTCTTATACATAAACGGCTTGATCTTTACTGTAAATCCATTTTAACACATTGATTACACTGAACTATATCATGTTGGAGATCTAATTGACAATCACATGACAATGACGTCACAATTGTTTAACATCAAATTCAAGCCTTCATGCGCTTTTTCTCGGAAATGCTTTACGCTACGTAAACTGTGGGTGCTTATCTTCGGCTAGGCGAAGTTTTACAAAACTTTACTAGAGGAATTTGGAGATATCCTAAACTTTATACACAAATGGTACTGATAAATTTACACGTGAACTGAAGACTGGACTTGACGCAAACAAATTTGCTACTTCTTGGATGTTTCAGGAACGTTTTACCGCTCACTCTTAACAAATGTCCCTTGGGGTTGATTTCCACTGTCGCGTAATTTTTCCGTGCAAACGCAGGAAAATCCAAGCGCGTAAATGAAATAAAGGCAATGTATGATAGGCCACCCATAAACGTGAAAGTTGAGCGAGGTTCAACTTTTACGTTTACACGTGATCTTACATGCATTGTCTCTATCTTATTTAGGCGCGTAAAATTTACGTGCGTACGCACGTAAAAATTACGCAACAGTGGAAATCCACCTTTGTCTCGTAAAATTTGCGTGCGTATGCGCGTAATGCATGAAAGGTCGTGCTAATACGCGTTGCCTTTCGTGCATGCACTATACCGTCATATTTACGCACGTAAATTTAAAGCGCGACCACTTACGTAAAAATTACGCGACGGTGGAAATCCACCTTTCTACCTTTCTGGAACAACTGGGAACAAAGCAGACTTGTGCAATTTTGAAAAACATAAAAATATATGAATAGGGGTAAGGCACAAAGCTGACTTTCTTGTGCGAATTTTAAATTATCCATGCGTTATAATGGATTTGCCGTAAAGATTAAACTGCTTAAGAACGGTCGGTGTGTCTACAAATATACTGGGTCGAGCCACCTGAAAGCCTTATGCAGATTGAGGAGGATGTAAATACTTATCAATTATTGCATTCATCTTTCGAATGATTCGAAGAGTTACGAAGATTGCGGAGGATGTCAACGGCCGAGGCGGATAACACCCTCCTCGATCTTCGCAATTCTTCATATCATACAAAAGCCGAATACAATAATTTTATTTAAGATTATTCTTAAAAAAATTTTTCTAATCAACTTCAAAACATGCTTGCCTCGATCGATGTAAATTTCCGTCTTTATAACTCGGCAAATTCAGGATAAAAAGGAACCATAAAGGGTCTAGCTGATATTCTTCAAAATAGCAGTTAACATCCCTCGAGTGGTATTTTGCTGTTCTTGCTATGTATTTAGGCAGTACTTCGGCTTTTTCTTCTTCTCAAATCGAATGAACGTTTCCGCCCTTTTCTCCAGATCTATCAAAACAGTTGAGCTACTGGATATCGGCAAATTTGGTCAACGGTAGCTGGTTATGAAGAATTACCAGGGGAATTTCAGCCAATCAAAAATGGAGATGTATTTGGAATGAATAATACTGTATTTTTATTTTTGTTCATTCAAAATATTTCTCCATTTCCGATTGGCTGAAATACCCTGCCTAGCTGGCGTTGACCAAATTTGGAAGAAGCGTGCGAAATACGCCACAATAAACAGATAAAAAAAGGATGAAAAAGGGATGACAACCGAGAAGCGGTTGGGTTATTCACGTGTTTCGATGGGGATGGAAAAAATGGCGGAGATTTTCACACGTTTGGCTTGCCTAATCCCTAGGCCTCACTATTCAGATATTGACCAAGAGGGACTGGGAAAACGCCGTACAGGAACAAGCTGGCAAACGTTTGGCGTAGAATTGAAGAAAAAGCAGAACGTTTGACTAAAAAAATATCAAAGACAGCAGGAATACAACTCAACGGATGGCAAATGCTATTTGAAGAATACAGTAAGAATATCTGCTGAGTAAATTTCCTTTTATATCCTGAATTTGCCAAGAAAAAGACAAATGAAGACGGCAACTCAACATGGATTTGGATAAGCATGTTTGAATGTCTGAATTAAATCGAATGAATAATAATTCGGCTTTAGTATGATCTGAATTATTAGGCAGATCGAGATCATTTAAAAGCTGAATCCAATAATTGCTTATCATCCCTAACTGTTCGACCTTATTTCACGACTATCTGTCTATTGATATACCTTACTTTAAAGTTATATTACGTGCTTATCAAACTCTTAGCCTCCCTAGCGAGTGGAAAGCATCAGACGTATCAAGACGTAATGTAATATCTTATTCACTAAATACCTTTTATGTATGAATACGTAATGTAATATCTTATTCACTAAATACTTTATGGTGAGTCCGGTTTTATCCTACATTTTAATAGCTGATGATTTTCTTCAGAGCTTCAAAACATCTCCACTTGTCCGGCAGATAAAATGGTTCAAAGATATGAGGGAAGGGTGTGTCCCAGCCACATACACGTTGAATCGGAGCTTCAAGATTTAGGAAACAATGTTCCTGCGACAAATCAAGAATTAGAAAATGTAAGTTATGGAGAAAACAGCAGTTGTTAGGATGGGAAAGGGAAAATCCCGTTAAAGGAGGGTAAATTTTCAACGATAAATTACCTTCTTCTACCACTATGCACGGGTTTGGAGCAAACCTCCATTTTAAAAATAGCACTCTCCCCAAGAAAGAAAAACGTTATCTTTTTTATGAGATTCGAAAATCTTTTTAGCCTTAACATAAATGAACTAATTAGAATTCTTCACTTTAGAATAATAACGATTCTTGTTGCATTTATCCATAACCTGGAGTGGGAAACTTTGGCGCGAGTTTACAATATTTTATAAGTCCCACAAACCAGTAAACAATTCCTACAGTCCTAAAAATGGTATTTTGGACCTTTTAATGACGTTTAGTTTTTAATTTTGATGTGTTTTGTTTCATATACGCTCATAGAAGGAGGAGAGCTTCCATTTTCGTGGGAAGAAGTGCACTAAAATATATCTAAAAATAAACCGGTCGGTGAAAACGTCGAGACATAAGCCTAGTGTGATAGCGAGTTGCTCTGGATTATGGGCCCCTCTCCCAGACTTTTTCGACTTAGGACAAGTTCACACTTGGCGCTTGTATTTTGCCCTCAAGTCTACTTGTTTGAACGACGACGTCGCGGGAACGAGCGTGAAGCTTGAGAAAGTCGATCGATGACCAGGGGAGCACTTGTGTCTGTTTACTGGAAGAACATGGTAATGTATGTGTAATCACATCGTGGGTACCCGATGTGTAAATGCGTACATATTTTCTCCATGAGGTTTCAAGTCCGTTGTTTACGAGTATAATAGCTGTTTGAAACTCCTTGAATTTGAGGGAGATTTTTAGCTTTCCGTCGCAATTTTCTCGGCCCAGTTTACATTCTTGCAGTCGGTTTACCAGGCATAAGCCTCACAATAATTTGTCATTCCATCACTGTTTTCCTTACAAATGTCTAACAGACAGAACCCCGAGGCGCCGAAGAAAACCCGAGAAATCCGAGAAAATTTGATTTGCTGTCGAGTAATCTAGTTTTCATTGTAGACCAATCAGCAATAACGTTGCATAAAGCATGCGCAAAACTGGACTTGCAAAGCAGTCACGTTAGTCTGTCACGCATTCTCGTTTTACGTATTTAATGAGTTTATTTTAAATCATCTCTCGTCTCTTGTATTTTGACTCACGCTACGGGATCGCCAAAATACGGTGTGACTCGTAAAAATATTCCACTATACTACACACTAAACCGTCCAATAAGATATACGTTACATGTTCACTAGTGATTACCTGTACAGTACTGCCAATTTCTGCAGCAAATCCACCAGTTAAAGGAGCCTCGTGTGCTATTAGAAGCCTTCCTGTTTTTAGAACAGACTAAAACACAAAACCATTTGATCCTTTTAGACACCTTTTTCATGAAAGCACTGATACTAAGATTGACTTATGTAATGCAACTCTAGTTGTCTCATTGATTATACTACTTGCGCAATGACAAACACTTTTAAAATTCCAAACAACAATGGGCACTTAAAGACAATTCCCATGGGAATCTCAAAGTTTCCCGAGGTGTAGCTGAAGGATACAAAATTAACAAGTTTCCCAAGGGACTGGTTATTAAGAGATTTATTACAGTAGCCCACAAAGAAAAACTTCTACGCGTTCAGATTTATGACAAGAAATCTCAGAAAGCAGTTTTTAACATTTGTAATTGCTCACGCATGAAAGAATGTGTCATTTCGCTCTTTCAGAGACTTTTGGGTGGGAAACAGTTTTATTGTTACATGTCACATGACCTTGAAGCAACCAAAGGAAGTGTGTGCTGTTGGTCAAACAAATTCAAGCTACGTATTTTAAGATACCTTAATGACAGTCTCTTCATCCCAAGGAAGAATTGTTTGAAGATCTATCAGCTCACAACTGACACCGAGCTCATCTTTTGCCATTTTACAGACATCACGNACTATACTACACACTAAACCGTCCAATAAGATATACGTTACATGTTCACTAGTGATTACCTGTACAGTACTGCCAATTTCTGCAGCAAATCCACCAGTTAAAGGAGCCTCGTGTGCTATTAGAAGCCTTCCTGTTTTTAGAACAGACTAAAACACAAAACCATTTGATCCTTTTAGACACCTTTTTCATGAAAGCACTGATACTAAGATTGACTTATGTAATGCAACTCTAGTTGTCTCATTGATTATACTACTTGCGCAATGACAAACACTTTTAAAATTCCAAACAACAATGGGCACTTAAAGACAATTCCCATGGGAATCTCAAAGTTTCCCGAGGTGTAGCTGAAGGATACAAAATTAACAAGTTTCCCAAGGGACTGGTTATTAAGAGATTTATTACAGTAGCCCACAAAGAAAAACTTCTACGCGTTCAGATTTATGACAAGAAATCTCAGAAAGCAGTTTTTAACATTTGTAATTGCTCACGCATGAAAGAATGTGTCATTTCGCTCTTTCAGAGACTTTTGGGTGGGAAACAGTTTTATTGTTACATGTCACATGACCTTGAAGCAACCAAAGGAAGTGTGTGCTGTTGGTCAAACAAATTCAAGCTACGTATTTTAAGATACCTTAATGACAGTCTCTTCATCCCAAGGAAGAATTGTTTGAAGATCTATCAGCTCACAACTGACACCGAGCTCATCTTTTGCCATTTTACAGACATCACGTAGGACATGCACCTGAGTTCCCCATCCCACAACTGTCACATCAGAACCTGAAATCAGATTTGTCAAAAAAGGACTTATAGTCAGGATCTATAGTGCGTCTCAAAACTATCTCAAGCACTTTTAGTCCAAACTGGTCACCATACCAATGTTGTTGCCATGATTTCCAGTTGCCGCGTTTATGCAATTATTAGACGGGGAACTAAAAAGCTAGGGAGTTCTTTTGGTACAGTTGAACACCTCGACAACGGCCACTTGGGGACGGAAGAAAGTGGCCGTTGTAGAGAGGTGGCCGTCAGCGGAGGTACGACTATACCACTATAATTCCTTTGAATTCCTATGAAAGTGGCCGGGAGAAAACCCTGGTCCCCGACCTTTGGTGACAGCCCTGCATACCCTGCAGTCCATGTCTTCTTATCACACATGTGGTACGATTTTCCTTTTAATTTCTGTGAAAGTAGACAATGGACATGCCTATAGTAGCCGGGGAAAAGCCCAAGTCTATGACCCTTGGTGACAGCCCTACTGTATATCCTGTAGTCAAATGGAGTACTAAAGTGATGACGTCATAACAATGAAATTTCTGAAATTATGGGATTTGTCAGGATATTCTGAAAGAACAATGTCCAAGAGGCCTACTTGCCAAAAATGAGCATTTCGGGGCAAATTGTCTCTGAGATCGTAGCCCAGTTATGCTTAGAAAACTCCATACAAACCCTTCTAAATTTTTTTGGGGTCGACCCAAAAAAAATTAGAAGGGTTTGTATGGAGTTTTCTGAGTATAATTGGCTAACGTCATCACTTTAGTACTCTATTATGTCTTCTGTTAACACATGAGCACTAGAATTCACTTGGGTACTGGTGGATGAGTCAAAGAGAGAGAGGGGGGGGGGGCAGGGGCAAGGAGGCTGACCACAGAGGTATACTTTTTCCCTCTCCCACTAGTACCCAGTGTACATGTTGCGATCAAACTTTATCCTTGGTTGGTTCAAATTTTGTTTCCTTTTTTTTAGGAAATATTACTGTTTAATGATGAGTTTGAAGACTGCATAGAAAGCCTCAGTCTGTAAGGAAAGCATGAAGCTAAAGTGATTATTTATTGGCATTTCTAGATGGGATTGAGGGATTTACTAATAATTATAGTCCAATTGGAATGTACAAGTTTAGTGTTTGAAGAACGGGAAAACCGGAGTTCCTGCAGAAAAGCCTCTTGCAACAAAGAAGACAACCAACATATCATTATGGCATTGATGCCGGGAATTGAACTCAGCCACATCGGTGACAGCCAAGTGCTTTTACCACAGCATCATTATTGCTTCCCTGCACCATCCTTGCTCCACAGCTCCATCACTGCTCCACAGCACCATCCTCGCTCCCCAGCTCCATCCCTGCTCCCCAGCTCGATCCTCTCTCCCCTGCACCATCCTCATTCCCCTGCACCATCCTTGCTCCCCTGCACCATCCTTTCTCCCCAGCACCATCCTCGCTCCCCTGCACCATCCTCGCTCCCCAGCTCCTTCCCCGCTCGCCAGCTCAATCCCTACCCCACTGCACCATCCTACCTCTCCTGCCCAATCCTTGCTCCCCTACACCATCATTGCCTCCCTTCACCTTCTTGCTTCCCTGTGCACCCTCCTTGCTTCCCTGGGCCACCAAATTCGGAAGCAATTTAAAATAACAGAAAGTTTATGCCCTGTTTATGGGTCATCAGCGATCCTGCACAATTTTGAGTAGTTTCAAAATGGTCACTTCTCTGCTTGAAACAAAAATTGCGACCAAAATCAAAGCCTAGACTCACCTTCCTCAAGTATTTCAGCCTCTGAGAGTGATATCTCATACTCTGCAACTGGCACCTCTTCCATTGCCTGTCTGTACAGGATCTTGGGTTCCAAGAAGATGACTGGGTTTTTGTCTCTGACACATGAAATTAGAAGTCCTTTGGCTTGAATAGGCCCTCTGGGAATGACAACCTAAAATATGAAAAAAAAACATCATTTAGCATGCAAAACCACAAAATGGACTACAGAAATAGTTAATGTGTATTTAAAGCATGACAAATGCAAACACACATGCATGCAAGTACGAAAACCTATACAAATTAAGTCAAAAGGCACACCTTCCGACTCTCATTCCGTGGAAAAATGCTTGACACAAAGCAATCCTCACACATAAAAAAACAAATTTAGAACAGACTTCTGGAACAAATGCCACGTTAACTGCAACTTCAAGCTAAACCTAGGCACACATTTGGCTTTCTAAATAAATGAATTACTAACTTAGTTACATGTTGGTGGCATAAATAAAGCCTAACCTCCCCCAATCCCCACCTCCACCCTGAACACTGTTGTGCAATATTCAAGATAACTAAAACAAGCCAAATGAACCATATGTGATTGGGGGGAGGGGTTGGGAAACGGTTCCAGATTATTTGGCAGCAAAATGTACCAGTTTTGTTGACCATCCAGTAGAGCTTCAGTTGGCATTTCCAATGTGAAAATGGGTGAAAATGAATTACAGAGAGCTAAACAAAGATAACAAAAAAAATTGTACCTTTAGTCCTGGTACATGAGCAAAGAAGCTCTCCACTGACTGAGAATGATAATGTGCACCATGCCCCACAGCTCCACAAGGAGCTCGCACTGTAAGGCTGCCACAGTTAAAAAGATTTCCTGAACTCCTAGCTGGCGTTGACCAAATTTGGAAGAAGCGTGCGAAATACGCCACAATAAACAGATAAAAAAAGGATGAAAAAGGGATGACAACCGAGAAGCGGTTGGGTTATTCACGTGTTTCGATGGGGATGGAAAAAATGGCGGAGATTTTCACACGTTTGGCTTGCCTAATCCCTAGGCCTCACTATTCAGATATTGACCAAGAGGGACTGGGAAAACGCCGTACAGGAACAAGCTGGCAAACGTTTGGCGTAGAATTGAAGAAAAAGCAGAACGTTTGACTAAAAAAATATCAAAGACAGCAGGAATACAACTCAACGGATGGCAAATGCTATTTGAAGAATACAGTAAGAATATCTGCTGAGTAAATTTCCTTTTATATCCTGAATTTGCCAAGAAAAAGACAAATGAAGACGGCAACTCAACATGGATTTGGATAAGCATGTTTGAATGTCTGAATTAAATCGAATGAATAATAATTCGGCTTTAGTATGATCTGAAGTATTAGGCAGATCGAGATCATTTAAAAGCTGAATCCAGTAATTGCTTATCATCCCTAACTGTTCGACCTTATTTCACGACTATCTGTCTATTGATATACCTTACTTTAAAGTTATATTACGTGCTTATCAAACTCTTAGCCTCCCTAGCGAGTGGAAAGCATCAGACGTATCAAGACGTAATGTAATATCTTATTCACTAAATACCTTTTATGTATGAATACGTAATGTAATATCTTATTCACTAAATACTTTATGGTGAGTCCGGTTTTATCCTACATTTTAATAGCTGATGATTTTCTTCAGAGCTTCAAAACATCTCCACTTGTCCGGCAGATAAAATGGTTCAAAGATATGAGGGAAGGGTGTGTCCCAGCCACATACACGTTGAATCGGAGCTTCAAGATTTAGGAAACAATGTTCCTGCGACAAATCAAGAATTAGAAAGTGTAAGTTATGGAGAAAACAGCAGTTGTTAGGATGGGAAAGGGAAAATCCCGTTAAAGGAGGGTAAATTTTCAACGATAAATTACCTTCTTCTACCACTATGCACGGGTTTGGAGCAAACCTCCATTTTAAAAATAGCACTCTCCCCAAGAAAGAAAAACGTTATCTTTTTTATGAGATTCGAAAATCTTTTTAGCCTTAACATAAATGAACTAATTAGAATTCTTCACTTTAGAATAATAACGATTCTTGTTGCATTTATCCATAACCTGGAGTGGGAAACTTTGGCGCGAGTTTACAATATTTTATAAGTCCCACAAACCAGTAAACAATTCCTACAGTCCTAAAAATGGTATTTTGGACCTTTTAATGACGTTTAGTTTTTAATTTTGATGTGTTTTGTTTCATATACGCTCATAGAAGGAGGAGAGCTTCCATTTTCGTGGGAAGAAGTGCACTAAAATATATCTAAAAATAAACCGGTCGGTGAAAACGTCGAGACATAAGCCTAGTGTGATAGCGAGTTGCTCTGGATTATGGGCCCCTCTCCCAGACTTTTTCGACTTAGGACAAGCTCACACTTGGCGCTTGTATTTTGCCCTCATGTCTACTTGTTTGAGCGACGACGTCGCGGGAACGAGCGTGAAGCTTGAGAAAGTCGATCAATGACCAGGGGAGCACTGGCGTCTGTTTACTGGAAGAACATGGTAATGTATGTGTAATCACATCGTGGGTACCCGATGTGTAAATGCGTACATATTTTCTCCATGAGGTTTCAAGGCCGTTGTTTACGAGTATAATAGCTGTTTGAAACTCCTTGAATTTGAGGGAGATTTTTAGCTTTCCGTCGTAATTTCTCGGCCCAGTTTACCTTCTTGCAGTCGGTTTTATCATGCATAAGCCTCACAATAATTTGTCATTCTATCTCTGTTTTCCTTGCAAATGTCTAACAGACAGCACCCCTAAGCGCCGAAGAAAACAGAGAAATCCGAGAAAATTTGATTTGCTAAGTAATCTAGTTTTCATTTTAGACCAATCAGCAACAACGTTGCATAAAGTGTACGCAAAACTGGACTTGCAAAGGAGTCACGTTAGTCTGTTACACATTCTCGTTTTACGTATTTAATGAGTTTATTTTAAATCATCTCTCGTCTCTTGTATTTTGACTCACCCTACGGGCTCGCCAAAATACGGTGTGACTCGTAAAAATATTCCACGATACTACACACTAAACCGTCCAATAAGATATACGTGACATGTTCACTAGTGATTACCTGTACAGTACTGCCAATTTCTGCAGCAAATCCACCAGTTAAAGGAGCCTCATGTGCTATTAGAAGCCTTCCTGTTTTTAGAACAGACTAAAACACAAAACCATTTGGTCCTTTTAGACACCTTTTTCATCAAAGCACTGATACTAAGGTTGACTTGTGTAATGCAACTCTAGTTTTTAAAAGGGTGTCTTATTGATTATACCCCTTGCGCAATGACAGAACACTTTTAAAATTCCAAACAACAATGGACACTTAAAGACAATTCCATGGGAATCTCAAAGTTTCCCGAGGTGTAGCTGAAGGAAACAAAATTAACACTTTTCCCAGGGGACTGGTTATTAAGAGATTTGTTATAGCAGCCCACAAAGAAAAACTTCTACGTGTTGAAACTTATGACAGTAAATCTCAGTAAGCAGTTTTTAACATTTGTAATTGCTCACACATCAAAGAATGTGTTGTTTCGCTCTTTCAGAGACTTTAGGGTGGGAAACAGTTTTATTGTTACATGTCACATGACCTTGAAGCAACCAAAGGAAGTGTGTGCTGTTGGTCAAACAAATTCAAGCTACGTATTTTAAGATACCTTAATGACAGTCTCTTCATCCCAAGGAAGAATTGTTTGAAGATCTATCAGCTCACAACTGACACCGAGCTCATCTTTTGCCATTTTACAGACATCACGTAGGACATGCACCTGAGTTCCCCATCCCACAACTGTCACATCAGAACCTGAAATCAAATTAAATTTGTCAAAAAAGGACTTGTATTCAGGATCTATAGTGCGTCTCAAAACTATCTCAAGCACTTTTAGTCCAAACTGGTCACCATACCAATGTTGTTGCCATGATTTCCAGTTGCCGCGTTTATGCAATTATTAGGCGGGGAACTTAACAGCTAGGGAGTTCTTTTGGTACAGTTGAACCTCTCTACAACGGCCACTTGGGGACGGAAGAAAGTGGCCGTTGTAGAGAGGTAGCCGTCAGCGGAGGTACGACTGTACCACTATAATTCCTTTGAATTCCTATGAAAGTGGCCGGGAGAAAACCCTGGTCCCCGACTTTTGGTGACAGCCCTGCATACCCTGCAGTCCATGTCTTCTGGTAACACATGTGGTACGATTTTCCTTTTAATTTCTGTGAACGTAGACTATGGACATGCCTATAGTGGCCGGGGAAAAGCCCAAGTCTACGACCCTTGGTGACAGCCCTGCTGTACATATCCTGCGGTCAAATAGAGTACTAAAGTGATGACGTCATAAAAATGAAATTTCTGAAATTATGGGATTTGTCAGGATATTCTGAAAGAACAATGTCCAAGAGGCCTACTTGCCAAAAATGAGCATTTCGGGGCAAATTGTCTCTGAGATCGTAGCCCAGTTATGCTTAGAAAACTCCCTACAAACCCTTCTAAATTTTTTTGGGGTCGACCCAAAAAAAATTAGAAGGGTTTGTATGGAGTTTTCTGAGTATAACTGGCTAACGTCATCACTTTAGTACTCTATTATGTCTTCTGTTAACACATGAGCACTAGAATTCACTTGGGTACTGGTGGATGAGTCAAAGAGAGAGGGGGGGCAGGGGCAAGGAGGCTGACCACAGAGGTATACTTTTTCCCTCTCCCACTAGTACCCAGTGTACATGTTGCGATCAAACTTTATCCTTGGTTGGTTCAAATTTAGGAAATATTACTGTTTAATGATAAGTTTGGAGACTGCATAGAAAGGCTCAGTCTGTAAGGAAAGCATGAAGCTAAAGTAATTATTTATTGGCATTTCTGGATGGGATTGAGGGATTTACTAATAATTATAGTCCAATTGGAATGTACAAGTTTAGTGTTTGAAGAACGGGAAAACCAGAGTACCTGCAGAAAAACCTCTTGCAACAAAGAAGACAACCAACAAATCATTATGGCATTGATGCCAGGAATTGAGCCTGAGCCACATCAGTGACAGCCAAGTGTTTTAACCACAGCATCATTCTTGCTTCCCTGCACCATCCTTGCTCCCCAACTCCATCCCTGCTCCACAGCACCATCCTCGCTCCCCTGCACCATCCCCGCTCCCCAGCTCCATCCTTGCTCCACAGTTCCATCCCTGCTCCACAGTTCCATCCCTGCTCCACAGCTCCATCTCCGCTCCCCAGCTCCATCCCTGCTCCACTGCACCATCCTACCTCTTCTGCTCCATCCTTGCTCCCCTACACCATCATTGCCTCCCTTCATATCACCTTCTTGCTTCCCTGTGCACCCTCCTTGCTCCCCTGGGCCACCATGTTTGGAAGCAATTTAAAATAACAGAAAGTTTACGCCCTGTTTATGGGTCATCAGTGATCCTGCACAATTTTGAGTAGTTTCAAAATGGTCAATTCTCTGCTTGAAGCAAAAATTGCGACCAAAATCAAAGCCTAGGCTCACCTTCCTCAAGTATTTCAGCCTCTGAGAGTGATATCTCATACTCTGCAACTGGCACCTCTTCCATTGCCTGTCTGTACAGGATCTTGGGTTCCAAGAAGATGACTGGGTTTTTGTCTCTGACAGATGAAATTAGAAGTCCTTTGGCTTGAATAGGCCCTCTGGGAATGACAACCAAAAATATGAAAAAAAAAAAAAAAAAACATCATTTAGCATGCAAAACCACAAAATGGACTACAGAAATAGTTAATATATATTTAAAGCATAACAAACGCAAACACACATGCATGCAAGTACGAAAACCTATACAAATTAAGTCAAAAGGCACACCTTTTGACTCTCATTCCGTGGAAAAATGCTTGACACAAAGC